TTTGTTTTAAGAGATTTTTTTCTCTCCCTCTAACTTTAAGACATTTGATTTGTATAGGATGAGTTAAAAACTCCAGTTCCTCTCTGGGCATAGTGTTACACGCTTGTAATCCCAGCACTTGGGAGGCTTTGCCACGAGGATTGCCACGAGTTCAGGGCCAGCCTGGACTACTCAGTGAGTTTAAAGCCAGCTTAGACTACACAGTGAGACTCTGTCTCAAAAAATAACTAAAACAAAACAAAACAAAAATCCACCAGTTCCTAAGACAGTGGTAGGCGTCCCAAGGGGATTTTGCCTGTGCAGGGTCCCTGCCTGTCCGACTGTCCTGCCCCGTCCTGTGCAGAGCTGTGGTAGCGAGCACTCCTGCCTTTCTCTGAGGCCACAGCGTTCTGCGGCTGTAAAAAGAAGACCTAAAGGGTTGGCTGGCTTCCCGGGTGGGGCCGCCTGGGCCGCTGGCGTCTGGGCTCTGAGTGCTTCGAGCGCTGGGGGCAGCTGCTGGGCCTCGTTGCTGGGCCGGGTTGTGGGAGCAACTGTCTCAGTGACCCACATGCAGAGCTCCACCGTGGAGACACTGGGGCTATTGGTTTGGTTGATTTTTGACAACATCTTCCAAGTTTTAGACCGGTTCCAGAGACCCTGAAAGAAAGGGGTTCATGGTGGATGAAATGATGAGGGGTATAGGAAATGTTCTGAGACCAAATGGCTGATTTCAATTCTTGCTTCTGACGTTATCTCCCCTACCGTCCTGGGGCCATCCAGTGCGGGGGACCTTTCGCAAGCTCCTTAGAGACCTCATCTCTTCACATTGTTAATAATGTACTGAAATAGGGGGCTGGGGATTTAGCGCAGCGGCACAACGCCTGCCTGGCAAGCGCAAGGTCGTGAGTTTGATTCCTGGTACCGGAAGAAAAACAACAAACAAACAAACAAACAAACAAAAACAAATAATATAATGAAATAATTTCATTAAAATATTGTGGCTCAGGGATTGGCTAGCTAGTATTGGACTTACCCTCTAGGCAAAAACTGTGTGAAAAGATGCCCTTTAAACCCATTAAAACCCATAAAAACATAAAAAACTCAAACCACACAAACACATAAAACAAAACCAAGCCGGGTATGTTGGCATACACTTATAATCCCAGCACTCTGGGAGGCTGAGGCAGGAGGATCACAAATTCAAGCCCAGCTTGGGCAGTTTAGCAAGATCCTGCCTCAAAAGGAAAAAAAAAAAAAAAAAAAAAA